CAGATGAAAACAAAAAAAAACACCTAGAGATTTTTAAGACCACAGACTGGAGGATAGAGATGAATGATGGGTTTTATGAGACAGCATTTCCCTTCTTCCCTCCCTCCCCTTTCTCTCCTTTCAGATTTAGAACTTTTGCCGAAGAAAATAGAAAGACTAGAAATGAGCTTCTGTGATTTTTTTTAACCACATTAGAGGAAATTCTTAGCCATGTGTTGATTACTAGCAATAAGGTTCTCTGAACCCCACAGGAATAAGATCTTGTTATCATTATTTCCATCCCATAGAAAGGATCTACAGAGTTCAAAAGAGTCCTTGCCTGGGAGTGGTGACAACTGGAAAAAGAATCAAATCTCTGATGAAAGATGGAACGCAGACACAGTTACGCAGTCACAAGCCTGACCTTCGTGACACAACTCTTGCTCCTTTATGTACTGTATATGTCGTCCATAAATTCTCAGAACAACCCCATGGCACTGCCTAGCAAATGTCCAGGAGAACAGGATATATAAATGATGCGTCTTCTCTAAGCATGACCAGAGGACCAGACTGTAACACAACTTCTCTGGTTCAAGAGGACATCCAACAGCCTTTTCTCTCTTTCCCAGTTCAAAACCAAAGGGAACCATGAGGGTTCGCTGTGCTGCTAGGACTAAGTGGATACCTGCACACAGGTGTCATATCAACACTGTAAGGCTCTTGGACTGAGTACGGCACTAACTCCTTGGTGGGTTAGAAAGAGGCGTGGAAGCAATGTGGATATCAAAACATTCACTAAAAGAATATTTAATGAAGAGGGTCTGATTAATCTGATATTCATCAGACCCTCTTCATCATATTTGTCATCTGAACAGATTCATTTCTGAGAAGGCAATTGTCATTATTTTCCCAGAAAACAAGCTGAGGTGATAGTGTCTCTATTTTAACATCACACCTGCTTAATGTGGTGCTAGAAACATCTAAATGAAACACAGTGTTCCAATTACTTGGTAATAAGCAAGGGACATACAAAGTAGTACATTTTCATATTTATTTTTTCTATTCATTTAATAGCTCATTCTTGCAAATCAATTTGTCTCCAAAAGATGTTTATCCAAAAATAGTATTAAAGTGATAATGAGCCATAATAAAAAGCATCAGAAAATAAAAGGATGCTTAAGGGCTTGGAGTGTGACTCATGTGGTAAGAGTGCCTTCCTAGCAAACATGAGCCCTAAGTTCGAATCCCAGTACTTCCAAAATACATATACATATATACGGACCTTCAGATTACAACCCAAAGTTATTCTGAATGAGGAAATGCTATCCTTGCTATACAAATGACTTCAGCTTTACTAGTTCAACAGGAAATAAATATTAAATCATGCATCAAGGTAAGAATTTCACATGTACCTTTCCATCTAATTCATACAGCTATCCACTGAGGTGTATACCATCATGATTCAGGATTTGCAAATGAAGAAACCAAACGCAATACTTTATAGCCAAATAAAGGTTCAACTTAAATCTGTATATTTGCTGGACAGAAATGTGTTTTTTTCTTTATCAGCCATTATAGGATACAATGAAAACATAAATCAATACAAATTTTGAAAACTTCCAGAATTCACCGCACCAGATCCTGACCTAGAAGCAGTAACAATTCACTCCTTCAAAACACTTGCAGAAATGTAATCTTCACGGAGATGTCAGGCATCTCCTCAGGGTCTCTGTGGGCCTTGCTGTTTACAAGAGAACAAACTGGTTTGAAGACCTTTTCACCTCTTAGAAGAAACAATCTTTTCACTCATCACCACTGAGAATCAGAAATAAGAGACCACAGTATTTCCACAACTAAAAACAATGGAAACAAACTAGCTAGAGACTACAAACTCTGTAGAAGGGAAGAGGGGAAACAATTTCATTGATCATGCAGCAAAGTACAAATCAGTAAAAAGGAAACTTTTTTCCTTCTTATTGATTGGTTCTTGGAATTTCAATGCATTCTCATGTTCTGCAATAATATAGCAACTGAGACTGGTGACACATTTCTTCTATTTTGTATGATTCAGATGAACATATGCATAGGCACATTGTTGTATTTTACATCTACCTAATGCTGGCCTTTTTAACTTCTTTTCTTAAAATGTCTTTAAGTCTTTTCTCAAAGGACAACACAAATGATAGAGAAAAACTCTATTTAATAGGCCTTTCTACTGAAAAACATCTTTCCTCTTTACAGGAGCCTGTTAAATTATAGACATAATTCTAAAAACTTACAAAGCAAAGACAGCCAAATTCTTTTCTGAGATTTGAGAGTTGTGAAGGGTACCTTAAGAAGTCATCTGAAAAAAAATCCTCAATGAATAAAAAAGTTGAGGTGAAATATCGTTAGGTTCTTTTTTCTGTTCACTGTGAATACAGACTAGTCATGTTTTTCTGGATTAAAAGCCCTTCCCTTATTCAGAATGCATGCTATAACCACAAGATGACAAGTTAAGAAGTGTCCAGAATAGTTCCTTGTGTGCTCAACTTAATGAGCAGCTATGGCTGAAGATGAAGTGAGAGTGGAATTTCACTTCTGGCAGGCATGTCTAAAGGCAGCACCACTATCTGTGGCATGCAACAGCCTTGGCACAGGACCAAGCTAATCCTCTCCCAGGCATGTCTTTAAGATCACACTCTCTTACAACGAGTGCCCTTAAGAATCACTGGAACTCTGCATCTGCCTAAATGTATCCTTCTAACTTACCATTATGTGGAATTCACTTATGTGTAGCTATGGATAGGAATAATGGAGAGGCTTTTAAAGACTAATATTTAACCAAATGATAAATGTATTTTTATGTTAGAACACCTTTTTACATTAAATTGCCAAATAATCTAAAAATTATATTGATTCCCAGAAATGTACATGACCACAACAGAATTAGAGACTCTTTCATCTCTATTTAAACAGACCAAAGCCTAAAAGGGAGAAAAAATATGGGTTTTATACATGCGAACGGCAGCTTCTATTTTTCTTTTTTTAAAGAATTAAAACATCAGTATTCTATAAAATATGAAAGGCACAAAATTTGATTCCACCATGGAAGGTCTGGGTAAAGACCAAGAAAAAACTGATATTATGTAAAAAAAGAAGAGGGAGGGAGAGAAGTAAATATAAATACAAGTTAACAAAAATGAACAAAGGAATACAGAACAAAGGAATACATACCGGAACCAAACAGTGGATGAAAACCACAAATTTTGTCTCTATAACTTCTCTTCTCATTGAGAATGTGGCCTCTAGCATGACCTCCTTGGTGCCACCTCCCTTTTAAATGTGGGAGTCTTGGATATAAAGTAGCTCCAATCTAGAGCTAATCACAAGTGGCAGTGAATACAGTGGGAGCTGTCCCCCCTCTTTTATCTCTCCAGGATGTGAACCTCTAAGCCTATGCAAAAATGCTTCCTTCTTCCGGGCCTTTCTTGTGCTAGCTTCATTAACAAGGCCTCCTTTACCTCAACCCCCTTTTCTCCTATCAGGAAGTCTCCCTTCCCCTGAATAATCCATACCCAAAAGCTGACTGGATATTCCTTCTCTCCCCTCCCATAATGTCCTACAGGAATCTCATTCGTGAACAAAGTACCAGGTATTTCCTCGGTGATTATTTTTCTCACTGCACTATAAGTTTTTCTGTTTTATCTTTTCAAGTCCAATGCCTACTTTAAGATGTGGCACTCTAGTGGACAGTGGAAAATGTTCACTGATGCTGGGTCTGGTGGCTCATTATCTGTAATCCTAGCTCTTCAGAAGGTAGAGCTCAAGAGGACTGCAGTTCAAGGTCATCCCAGGCATAAATGTGAGGCCTGATTTTAAAAATAACCAAAGGGGAGGAGCAGAGGGGAGGAGAGGAGAGGGGAGGGAGGGAACTGGGTTGTGGCTAAAGTGGTATTTGCCTGACAAACAGGCAGTTCAGAGCCCAGTGCTACCAAAAAATGTCCACTGAATGAACATTGGATTAAAAGTTACACTAGCCGCTAGTAGCTCACACTTGGCATCCCAGCTACTCAGGTGGCCAAGATCTGAGGATTTGAGGATGGTTTGAAGGCAGTAAAGTCCATGAGACTCTTATCTCCAATTAGCAACCCATTTTTTAGTAGTCATAAGTAGAACTGTGGCACAGCACTAGTGTTTAGCACAAAAGTTCAGAGACAGTGTCCAAGCAATGAGTTCACGCCCCCAGGATAAGCACACGCACACAAAAGAGTTAAATAGTAAGTTTCTCATCGCTTAAGAATTTTCAATACATCTACCTCTGTTAGAATAATTCCCATATTGGACTACCCTATGATGATATCTATTAGTCTATCCTTCCTTTCTTCCTTCCCTCCTTCCCCTCTCTTCCTTTCTTCTTTCCTCCCTTCCTTCCTCTTTCTCCCTTCTTTCTCTCTCTTTTTCTCGCTTTCCTTCCTTCCTTTTCTCTTCTTCGTTTCCTTGTGTGTGTGTGTACACACATATGTGCCCATGCACTAGGGCTTGAACTCAGAGACTCATACTCTCATTTGCCTTTTTTGCCCAAAGATGGTACTTGAGCCACATTTCCACTTCCCAGTCTTTCCATTTCTATACACAGTCCTTCCTACTTCCTCAGTTCCGTCGTTTCTTTACATAGTTCTTTATAATATTTATCAGTAGGGATATATGGCCTATCTAGCGTTTCTCTTTATCTGTTTCTTATTTAAGACAAGGCCTAGGATTGAAATGTCACCACAAAGAGCCTATTAAAAAAAAAAACATAGAGGGGCTGGGAAGGTGGCTCAGTGGTAGAGCGCTTGCCTTGCATGCCTGAGGCCCTGGGTTCGATTCCTCAGCACCACATAAGCAAAAAGAAAAAAGCCAGAAGTGGCACTGTGGCTCAAGTAGTAGAGCGCTATCCTTGAGCTGAAGAGCTGAGGGACAGCGCCCAGGCCCAGAGTTCAGGCCCCACGACTGGACCAAAAAAAAAAAAAAACCATAGAAACATTTGTGTAACTTACTGAATACATCCCCTCTGGGTTTCTGAGGATCTGTCTGAATCCTGTTGTCAACTGTAATCCCACTTGATGTACTGGTAGTTGGTGCAATGGTTGTCACTCTGGTGGAAGGCCTCTCTGGGGTCGGCGGTGGTGGAGGTGTTAGGAATTCTGTGGGGAGAGGTGGTGGCGGTGGTGGTGGAGTAGGTTGTCGTGTTGGCTTTGGTGTAGGCCTTGTTGTTGGTTTAGCAGTGGGCCTGCTGGTAATGACAGGAGGAATATACGGTGTCTTCAGAGGCCACCTTGTACTTCCAACATCCGGAATCCAGTTCGTATGTCCTCCATCACCCTTTAAACCTGTATTGTTTCCCATTGGTACATGAATTGGACCTGATGGTTCAATCATGACTCTGGGAATATCTGAAAAAAATCCACAGATTTACGTTAGTATGTAACCATTCCTGTCTAAAAAGACATTATACTATAAAATGCATGCACCCACACAGAAAGACCACATTCCAACTGGTCTTCCCACATTTAGATTATTACCTATTGTGGATCCTGTTACATTCCTAATAGCAAATGTGTGGGTGAGAAATTCAATGTGTGCAAAATATACTGGGATTTCTATAAGGAATATGTATTACTTTTTGAAATACAAAATGTTTTAAATATTTGTGCAGTGATAACAAAAATCAATTGACAAGATTTTGAACAATGCAGACATTTCTAGTTCCTTCCAATCTAAGAAAGGTACAGAATGAAGTTCACCTATGCTACATGCATATTATTAAATTGTGTTTAGAATTTTCTAAAGACTAATCCTTTTCATACCTACATTCATATAGATAGACAATTCATGACTAAATGTTCTACAGATATTTTCATAGTTGACTTTCCTTTCCCCTTACTAATTTATACAATTGCTTTCTACATCGAAAAATTCAGAGTTTATGATCATCATCTATGGAATCTTTTCCCTTGGCAATCTTCACCAAAAACATCAATATTTAATCTGCCTGGAATGATATACCTCAGCCTGGTGAAGGCTACATGACCCTTCAAAAGCCCCTTTAATCCAGATGGTTTTATGCCCCGTGGTTTTCAGTAAATATTTTACTTAGGAAATTTTAAAAATTATCTAGTGCTATGTGAAGTGCATGCTGAGTGTGGCTTGGGTTTGTAAAAGCTTTCATCTTAGTGTGTATTTTTTTCATGTTTATCTAATCCACTACTCCAAACATAGCTTATAAAACCTTCAGCAAAGCAGTTTTGAATGTAGAGGAGATTCATATTAGCATTATTTTTCAATAGTAGAGAAGTGTAGAATGAAGGAACAAAAATAAAGAATATATTCAAACTAGTATCATAAAATATAGCTATTTCTCAGGGAGGACTATACCATGCTTTTCCTGCTAAAGGAAGCAGCTGAGAGTCAAAAAAATTCTATAATTTTAAGATCAGAATATATTATTGAGACTTCCATTTTAAAAAATACTGTAGCAAGTGATTTTGCTGTTTTTAGAAAACAGAGACTAATAGCTTTAACTGTGAACATTATATGTCTTTGATAACTAATACATTCTTTATCTTCCCCAGTAACGGCATTTATGTAATCCTGTATTTCCTGCTGGGAAACAAGTGTTACTCACACACACAGTTCCATCCATCGCCTTCATAGCCATCTTTACATTTACACTGGTAGGATCCATGTACGTTGTAACATTGTGCAAAGCTGCTGCACTGATGCTGACCAAGAGAGCATTCATCTACATCTGCATTCGCGGGTAGGAGAAGGAGTAATTTCATTAAGAAATGGTGTGATGACATGCAAAATCACACACATGATCAAAAACTATTTTTTCCAATGCAAAGGTCCACATAAATCCAGCAGATAAACCAGAAAAAAATAGCATAACATTTGTATCCAGAACTACCTAAACATTGGTTGGTTTGTCTTAATTCATTGCCCATGCCCTTCCCCCATCCCTAACATCCCAACCATCACTGTGGCTCAGAGACATTCCAGTGATAGAACAAACACAAAACAATGATGGAGTTTATTTACCATGACATTGATATTTGCCTCCAATGTACATGAGGTCGAAGCCTTTATGACACTTGCAGATGTAACTTCCAAAAGTGTTGACACACTGCCTAAATCTGGGGCAGGACACTTTCCCTGTAGCACATTCATCAACATCTAGAAACGTAAGTTAATTACATCTTAGTACGCACGAGGGCATGTTCAGACAGTGTGGGTTTAAGACAAATAACTGACAGCCACTGTTGCCTGACACACAGTAGCTCAAAAGCAAACACAAATTTCATATCTCCAAATCCCTGCATCCCGCTAATGCCAGCTGTGATTTCTCATACCCTGAATTAGAACATACTACACTGTGTCTACACAGTTGAAGCAAAGGTTTTAACTTCAAGGAGTCATCCTTGACAATCCTCAGTCCCTTAACTCCAAAATCATCAAGTTCAGTTAATTCTACTTCTCAACAATTAATTATTAAGCCTAACCACTGCTATAACCCTATTTCTAAGCCACAGTCACCAGCCACACACAGTTGGAGGAATCTCCACACTGGTCTTCATGCTGCCAGTATTGCCTGCTCCAAAGTATTCACTACCAAACTATCAAAATAATTCCATTACAACATGAGGTCATTATTATGCTTGAAACCTTTTAAGTGTTTTATTCACTTTTTGAATTAAATTTATATTTGTCTCTATGTCATTTTGGAAGACCTACAATAAATATTCCTCATCTATAACTCTGGCTTGTGTCTCAAGACACCACCTACTCATGCTCTTCAATTAAGTGACTTACTTCTTTTCAAACCTCACAAAAGCCACGTGTGGCAGTGGACATTTGTAATCCTAGCGCTCTAGGCTGAGACAGAGCCTCAAGAGTTCAAGGCCAGCCTGGGCTACTGAGTGTCTGTCTTAAAAAGAAAACAAAATAAAGTTACAAAATCCACTCAAGCCAACTTCTTTCTTACTGCCGTAGCCGGCAATATTTTCACCTGTTGGCAGATTCTCCATATGTGTAAGGGGCTTTCTTTGACCATTACTTTCTAAAACAGACCCTTTCTAGGGGGTTATTCTCTTATTGCTTCATGTTAACATTTAGCCCTGAGCATAGTTTAAGCAATTCTTACTTCTTTTGTCTAATCACTGACTAGAATGTTGATTTCATTAAGATCCACTCTATCATTACTGTATATCTAGTGAAATGTCCGGAAGGTAGAAGCTGCTCAGTAAATCTCTTGATTACTTAGTACCTTCATGTCATATTGATCACATGCTAGGTACCATACTAGTCTCTGAAGACAGGGTCTCATCCAGTACTCAAAATGGTTCTGTACAGCATGACTTTAATAAAGAGATGCAAACTCATACGTAAGAAAGTTCCTTGCCTAACTAAAGTTACTTGTCAAGATCTAGTGGAGCCAGGTTTGACACTGTAACAGACTCAGCCATGGTCTATACTGCCATGTTAATTTCCTAGGAAATAAATCTAAACCCTGTGGTGTAATAGATAATTTAGCCCCATCAATCTCTTCAGCCTGGCTACTTCATTGTTCCCACTTGCCTCGGACATTCTAGAAATACTGGGCTCTTCTTGACTTCCTATACATTGTACTTTGTTGAATCTCAGGGCCTTGGCACATGTGATTTGCTCTGCCCAGAGTTTCCTCCTGTCCTCCATTCCTGAGGAAACAAGGTTCCTATGGACCATTCACAGAAGTCCTCTGTGGAAACAGCTAGCAGCTAGTGTAAGGGAGTGTCTTTTCCCTTTCTTCAACCTTCTACTGTCTGCCTTTGTCCTGCAGAGACTGTGGACAGAAGGGCTTGCTTCTTGGACTTACCCACACAGGTCCGCCCATCCGGAGCCAGCTGCAGGCCAGGGGAGGGGCACTGACATCGGACTTGTCCCTTCAGCACATCGCAGCCATACTGACAGTTGGCCATGGAGCACGTTAGTGCACCTGAGAACAGAGCGACGGCTGACTCAGAGGGCTAGGAAACAATCTGTAATTTAAATAACTATGTGCTTCACCTGTCCAGAGTCAGTAACAATGAATCAATAATGACAACAAAGAGGCCTCCATTGACGAACCTTCTAAAAAGAGGGAAAATGGAAGGAGATACCAGGAGTGGGAAGCAGGTCAAGAGACAGAGTGTGGGGGAAATATAGCAAACAACATTATATATATATATATGTACATATATATGCATAGATACATGACAATATATAAAATCCAATATCTGATGTGATTAACATATGGTAATAATTTTTTACTTGTTTAAAAATGGGCAAAGGGCAAGACTTCCCACCATCATCTGGAGCAAATTCGAATGTTTTAAAGAATTTAAAGACACATATAAGACTTCGAACTCACACAGATTATCTGGAAATTTTTTCAGTGGCCAAGGAAAGTAGAAAATTGAGGTATCCTTCCAGATTACTCAGTCTAAGCGCTGTTCTTAACCAAAACATCCAAATAACTACCTTAATCACCCATGAAATATCTCTGGAGGGCAGATGTCTCAGCGACTTGCTGTATCAGAAGGCTTCTGTGTTCCTACCACCTACTGCTAAACACGCCATTCCAAAACTTTCCTTTGTTATTTATATAGAGCGATAAGTACAATCTGCCAGTCTTTTTTACTTTTTTACTTTATAAAATACAGCCTCGTTAACGGGTCATTTGATAAAAATAAAAATTAAGTCATTAATTGTTGAAGATGATAAAAACACAAGCTCAGTTCATCCATCAGCTAGGCAGAGTTGTAGATTATTGTCCATTTTACAAATGCATTCTAACATTAGTAGAAAAATCGACTTCTTTTTGTGAAAAATATACATCAAATCTGCGTTTATGATATATGCATTTCTTTTGTTCACTTCTGAAACTTAAAATCTTCAGACTATTACCAAAGATAAAAATGAAGTGAGAAGGCATTTATGTTCATAAACGCACAGCCAACCCGATAGATTCTCTCTGAGCAGTATCTCAATAATCAGTCATTTTAAAAAATTCTACCTATAATAGCTCTACATACAAGTAGAACACAGGGATAAATGTTGCCCTCCATTTTGCAATCTCTATTCTAAACATCATTTCCAAGTCAATTCAAAATCGGCATCCACAGTAAAAGAATGTCACACATCTAAAATGGGTACCTCTTATTCTGAATTTCAGTTCCTTAGGCACACTTATGAACACATGCACACATCCTGTTTGGACGGACCCAAGAGGCCACGTTCCCAAAGGCATGCTACCAGAGCATGCTAGAATTCAAGCCCGAAGCCCTTAGAAAGCAGTTAAGATTCTTGACATACTTGAGCAAGAGCCATCCGGCATAAGCATATATCCGTTGAGACAGTAGCACTTGTAGCTGCCGAATGTGTTCATGCACCTGTGCTTACAGGGCCGAGGCTTCAGGCCACACTCGTTTAGATCTGAAAAGAATGTGGGTTGATGCAGAAAAACAAAATCACAACTCCTCAGCACTAACACACAATATTTCAAACGCTTCCTGATACAAAGACATAAAGGAGAAAAGCAGTTTGAGGACTTTTCTGGAACCATTATTATGTGAGAGAAAGCTTGTTCACGTACTCTTAACTGTTCTCTATACTAATGGTGGCCACATGTCACCATGACCTTTGTGATTCTCTGTAAATAAAGGACCATTAGGACGAATCTCCTGACCAGTATGCATCTGCCTCTTCATCCCTAGAAAGAGCATACTCACCTCCTCATGGTTAAAAGATGCTCTCTCAATCATCTCTCCAGCTGCAAATATGCTAAAACTCCTATGTTCTACTGCTAGATCTGTGGGGGGGGGAGGGGAGATGTCTGGGGCTTGAGCTCAAGGCCTGAGCATTGTCCCTGAGCTTCTTTTGCTCAAAGCTAGTGCTCTACCCCTTGAGCCACACCTCCTCCACACTTCCTGCTTTTTGGTAGTTAACTGAAGATTCTCACCAACTTCCCACCCACACTGGTTTTGAACTATGATCCTCAGATCTCAGCCTCCTGAGTACTAGGATTACAGAGTGAGCTAAAGCCTGGCAAAATCTGTTTTTGATAATCATGTTACTTTCAATTCTTTTGTCTCTTTAAAGGAAGTATTATTATATGAGTATAGTTTACATCACAAGGTAGCTATATTAAACATTAGACTGCTTGATATTCTCAAAAAATGGCTATGTTTTTCAGAGGATAAAACTACATAAATTACAGTAATCATTATTGTGGGATTTTTGCTGTTGTTCAAATTTGGAGATTCTATACTGATCTCAGATTAAATGGGAAAATTCAGCCTATTGCTTTAATATACATTCAGGTTACAAAATAAATTAGGAAAAGAAACCTCTAATTTATTTTCACTATGTGGCAGTTAAAGGAGACTGTGGAAACACTAATGGACAAACATAATGGACTATCAGAATACATTTTTGTGTTTATTGGCTTAAATATCAATATGAAATGGATTAATGAATTCTACATTATAAAAGTTTCTAACTCAAGTTGAACATTGCCTCTAATGAATATAAAATTCACAATGACATATGAACACTGACATAATAATGCCCATAATATAAACTTCATTAAAAAGAAATGTGACCACATGTTTACTTTGTCTGGAAACACCAGCATAAGTACCTGATTAGCATAATTCAATTATCAATTAATCCATGTCACTGAGTAAGAAATAGAGCCAATATATTTAGTTAAAAAGTTGTCTTCAAATATAATCGAATTTAAACCTAACTTGTTCATGTTTAAAATCTGCATATTTTACTGCAGAAAATCACTTAGTTTCAATATGTTTTAAAACCACTAAATAAAGAATGGCTCTAAGAATATTTTCAAACCATAATCACTTTCTACATGGTCTTTTTTTTCTACTCTTAACACAAATATAAGCAAATCTTCAGCTGGAAAAAAATTCTGGGAAGGTAAATTAAAGCAAATATTTTTGTTGTTTCTTATGCTTTCTTCAATTCTCTATTCTATTATGCCTTACTTAGTCAAGGCTTTTCAAAACAGAACATTTTAAATATTTCAAAATGTTTCCTTCATAGAAGGGGCTTTGCAGATTGCAGAGCCAAAAAAAAATAGTTTTCTCCCTTTGTCAGATCAATAATCCAGGAGAACTGACTGAGCAGAAATTCTCCTCCATTCTCAAGTTGCTCTACCTGTATGCAGTATTTATTAAAAGTATGAGTCAGAGAAATTTGTCCCATCTTCTCAGAGGAGTTCATTATCACCACTAACACTGTCCTGCAGTCATACCTGGCTTTGATCAATCCATGATTAATACTACTGGAAGTAATACTTAAATCTGAGTATAAGAGAAAAGCTTTGTATTTAAATTTTTTCTCTGTAACAATAGAGTAGAATCAAGCAAAAAAAGATTAAATTGTAAATCTTTAAAGCATACTAATGGATTTTTGAAGTATGAATTTAAAATCCCTAAGCATATTTTAGATGGTTCTAGAAACTTCTGTAGATGCCTGATGGGAACTAGTTAGATGTTTACAACTTCACGTAGCTTAGGAACAAGGAGTATTCACACTGGTGAAAATCTCTTCAGACACTGCTTCCTATGGACTAAAGCTGACACCCAGTTGAGGCAGCTTTTTTACCATCTGGCTCCAATGTTAGCCAAAAACAGAGGCCCCTTAGCTACTGCTATGAGAATCCAGATTGGGGCTGCCAGTGGTCTTAGAGACTGGCTTTAATGAAAATGTATCCTGCCCTTTCCATAGGAAAAGCACTTTGGGGCTAGGAGTCTTAAAATTGAAATAAAAACCAACCGTCATCATTGGGAAAAATCTAGGACTTACTTTATGAAATGGTATGGGAAATGAGTGCATGTAGAGATTTATTGGTTATTTTACCTGTTATTAAATATGTACATAAGTATCCAAACATATGGAAAGCAATTTGAGAAAGCGGCCTTCTAAGAGCCGTTGATGGACTGTATGACATTCTCTGACAGATGCATGGTATTAATATCCCCAGTGACTGCCATCATGGCCCATCGATCTCACACAAGTGTCTCCTAAAAACTGCACAATGACTTTTACCAAAACTACTGTAGCCATGACAAAATAGGACCCACAGTCATCCATGTTTATCAATATCTATTAAAACATCAGTTTTCTTTGGGCACTCCAAAACATTATACACATTTGATATCCTGGTAAGTAACCTCACTGCCTGCAATTTCTATAATTATGTTACCTATTTTCCAGACCTGAAGGCTTATAAAATTGAATTAGGGTGTTCTGCTTTCGATAAATGCTATGCTTGTTACTACAATTTATCATACTATAAACTAGCAACAATGTGCTGTTATCAAACTAAGTCAGAAATTGAAAAATGGCATCTCCAAATTACAGTAAATGATTGTATAAGAAGAAGGAAATAAAAACCATGAAAATTCTCCTTGATACACACTGTCTCAAGTAAATCTTAAAAGTAAGAGACCTTATACTCACTTTTAGGAAACAGAGGTTGAGTATTTTTTTTTTATTTTAAACTTACTTTAACCTTGCTCCTTCTGGGAGTTCATAATAAAGCATAAATCATCAGGGAAAGATCTATGATAAATTTAATAAATGCTATCAGGTACCTAGCTGACATCAAAAGATAGAAATTTACAATTAAACCACTTACATTCAAATATTTTAAGTATTTGAATATAAATATTCAAAGTATTCTGAATTCTCAATATTTGAATACATACATATACGTAGCTATATGTATGTACATACCTATGTATATACACATATATATACACATACATATATGTGTATATATACATATATTCCTAAGGAGCATTACCATCAGAAGTACATTTAACCATATTGGTAAATTCAGAGCTTGGTGAGAACAATGATGGTGGGGCGAGGGGAAGATAGCAAGAAAGGAGTTGGTCCACAACAGAATTGCAAGCTGCGTAGCATTATTACTCTTGAAAAAAGGATCAGAAATTTTATGAGCATGCCAACACTAAAACAAGTAGCTTGAAAAACACGGGAAGAGATCTGCTGTAAAAGATACCCCAATGTAATTTTAAGGACAATCTTTCAGTAATTTTAACACACCTAGACTTTTCTTTCTCTCTGAGGCATACACTTGTCAATATTTCAGAAAAATGATTTCAACTTTACCTTATTCGACAAAGGGAGATCATGGACAAACAGATGACAGTATGTCAACTGCCATACCTGGAATAAATTATAAAGGACTGAATCTAATCCCACTGTTCTGATTCCTTGGGCCAAACATGTATAACTATATCCAGTTCCCTATCAGTAGAGAAAATATTTAACACAATTGTATTTTATTTCAGTTCTGACATAAACTAAGTTATAAGTTCTTAAACCTAAGAGTGGATATGAAAATAAAATCTCGTAAAAGAACTGTAATCCCACTTACTTTTCTACAAAATTTTCCTGCACAGTGAAAACATTCATCATTTTGTGGTCCTACAATGATACTAATGCTCCAAGCCAAAAGGGCAAGAATTATTGTCCTGTGATGCCAATGAGTTTGCTGAGATCCAAATACTTTAAATGGTTTCAAATTAGCTATTTGAAACCAGAAATTAAGGTTTATTTTATTACAAGATGCATACTGAAAGAAGCTAAAGTGTAGTTAATTTCTAGATAAAACTAAATTTCTATGCCTCAGACAGAGGAAGGGGAGGAAAACTAAATTATGTCTAACAGCTACCTGGAAAAAGGAACCAAACCCTTCATCTCAGTTGCTTTGAAATTCCTCATTTCATCTACTTATCTTGCGACCCAATATCTGGATAATATTTCAAAACTCAGAAAAGAAGAAAAGTGATATATGACACAGTAAAAGGAGAGGAAAGGCTCCATGCTTTTCTGGGCACAGAGAATCAGCACTAGGTAACCATTTGGGCTATTTGCTTCACATGCTCAGGCTGAAGGCTAGCAACTCCTAGGCTAGTCTTCAGAACATTTGCAAGAAGTAATGTAACTGCAGGAAGCCGTGCAGGTGCAGGTGGGAAGGGCAGACCACCTAGACAATGCACGCTCACCCCTTGAAGGTAAACTTGTGGCTTGATGATCCAGGGGTTGGAAAACAGGCTGCTCACTGCCTTGGTCAAAAGAAGGTGGGTAGAAGGGCTGGTCTTCACACCAGGAAGAAGGTAATAAGAGTCAGCTTTGAACTGATGTCATTTTTAGCCCTAAAAATCTTCACAAGTATATATTATACAATTACATAAAGTTGATAAACTTAAAAAAATAACTCTTTAGACACTTCACAATTTCCTTATTGTAAATTTCCTAAATATTTATGCAGTCATCTCGCTTCTCCAAGACTGCATGAACATTATATGTGAATAGTTCATCATTCTCATATGATTTCTAAAAACAACAACAAACAAAGGAGCACTTTTAAAGCATGATTTGGGTCATCAACAGAAAGAGAAAACAAAAGAATAATACAAATATTGATTACAATCAACCTGCTCTGTTCAAGAATACTAAAGTCTTAAATGACTTATTTTTCCTGTATTGTTACAACATATAACAGTGCAAAATTATGCACCATTTTCTGATTTTAAGTTGAAGCATATCTATGTTTTCATTAAATAGAACATATGTCATATTTAAGTCACATTTAATTAGAACATATGTTAAGTCAGAAGCTTTATGCAAAATGTGTTCACTATTGCCTTTATTAGTTTACCAAACTACTATAAGATGAATCCAATTCAAAGTAGAGATCGAAGAGCAATTATGTTCTCTTTTATTAACCAGCAACACATCCAAATCAAATAAGCATTGGTTTCTGTGGTGGAAAGCATTCATCTTTCAGAAAGTGAAGGGTATATGTAACTATTAAAGTTAGGGTAAGAGACTTGAAGTTATGCCAATAAAACAGTCAAATTTTGGATGTGATGAGTACAACAAAATGTAACGTCTGATTCTATGCTACCCAAGACTGATTCTCCTCTTAGAATGAGTAACTAAGAAAACATAAGAAACATGCGAAACAAACTATGTGAAAACATTAGTAATTGATATTTATAAATTGTTTCTTTAGGAATCCTTGTTAAATATGTGGCAAATTCAGAAAATCGATTTATTTCTAAAACTACATAATGGTATATTTCATGCTAAAAATAATCCCCCAGTGAGAAAGTTACAAAAAGATCATTATCCATAGCAGTAGTCACATTTTTTGGAAGGAGAAGACATTTATATGGGTAGAGATGGTAAATAAAATTACCAGAAAATGTAAAGCAGGAAACAAATGATTAACAATCATCTCGTCCTAGTTGGAGTAGATTTTCATCTACTTTGAAAGGTATCATGGGCCTGACAGATAGAGTACTGGCTAGTCCAAAACTATGACTTTATATCTGATCTTAGCATAACAGACCCAGAACTGACTCAGGGAAAACAAAGTCCCCAAGAGAAGCCTAAGCCTGTGGCAAAGCTATTAAATAAAGCCAGCTGCAAAGTGTGGCTTGCCCTCCTATTCTGGCAGTGCCCCTGGCAGTTCTCAAAGCACTGGATAGGCACTTGTCATTTATTTAAGCGGTGTTCTCTGCCAACTATGTTTCTCCAGGGTTAGCAGTTAAAAGTATGTAACTAGCAGAAACATTCTCAGCAAATACTTGCCTTCTACCCAAACCTATTTTTAATCAAAAGCTAATTTCCCCTTCTAGGAAATCATTTCCAATTCACAGCTTCTTGACATTTTCATCCTGCAGAAAACATATTCTGTTTGACTGTCCATATCTCTGAGGCATGTTTTCTACTTTATTAAAAACATAAGGGCCTAGATAAAACAAAAAAAAAAGTCTGATGTAATTTGTTACATAGTAGCCATGGACAATTTGCTGTGACAACATTTATGGTCTCTCAGCAAGGTCAACACTCAAGTCATTCACCACAGCCACCCTCCACCTTGCAGGGCTCCCCCAGCCTATGAATCCAGAGACTGTCAGAGCGCTGGCACCAGACAGTTCCATGGAACCCTCTCAAGTTCCAATGGTATTTAGCGCCAACAACCAGGATACAAATCATTCATTCAGTTCACAAATACTTAATACGCATTTTGCCTATGAAAGTTACACAGAAATCGTTTTCAGAAATCCAGGAAAGGATGCATGGGCTTTCCCATCAGAAACATGGCACAATTGCTTGTTTTGTAATGGACGATTAAAACACGTTAAGGGTGTTTTAACTTGGGATTGTGTTTTCAAGACTAGGCTTGAAGTTACATTGTCAGTGTTACCACTATTGGTGCAGATTTTAAAGTCATTTGGTTACTAATAAAAACCCTCTTCTCCCTAAGGAATAAGGGTTGGGAGGCAAGGTTTTGACTTAGAATATTCTGTTTTCTTTTCTTTCTCTTTTTTTTTTTTTTGGTCGGTTGTGGGGCTTGAACTCTGGGCCTGGGCACTGTCCCTCAGCTCTTTAGCTCAAGGCTAGCACCTTACCACTTGAGCCACAGAGTCACTTCCAGTTTTCTGAATGGTTTACTGGAGATAAGAGTCTCATGAACTTTTCTGCCAGGGTTGGCTTTGAACCACAATCCTCAGATCTCAGCCTCCCTGAGTGGCTAGGATTATAGGTGTGAGCCACTGGCGCCCAGCTCTATTTTCTTTTCTAATAGAAAAATAAGAGTTGGTTTTCTGAGAAGAAGATATGCTGAGTGATGAACCCTTGTTCCAATAATAACTTTAGTGTTTGTGTAGAATTAATATAGCTCCTGTAAATAAATTTAAGTAAGTTTTTCTGTCACCTCCAAACGTGACTATTTAATAGCCTTCTTTAATAAGTTCTCGGTATTAATACATCAAGGTTTTATAGTGTCAAAACATTCATGAAACCTCTGATGGTTTTTATGTACCACTTTAAAAAATACACTAGGTTTTAATATAAACTTAGGCTGAGAAAAAAAGATAAAATGGATTTTTAGAGGATTAAACTGAGATAATAAAAACACTACTTATTCCAGAGACTACCATGTTCATTTGATTAATTCCAAGTTAAAAACAGAGTGTCATAAGATAGAAACGGCTAGGTGCCAGTGGCTCATACCTATAATCCTAGTTAATCCTAGGTAATCAGGAGGCTGAGATTTAAGGATCATGCATGGTTCAAAGCTAGCCTGGCCAGAAAAAGTCTGTGAGATTCTTGTCTTCAATGAACTACTCAGAAAAAGCCTCAAGAGACACTGTAGCTCAAGTAATAGAGCACTAGCCTTGAGTACAAAAAGGCTCAGGGACAGTGCCCAGACCCTTAGTTCAAGCTCCAGATCTAGAAATGATGATGATGGTGATGATGGTGATGGTGATAATGATGATGATGATGTTGGTGATATAAAAGAAACTCAAGTTGGGGCTGGGAAGGTGGCTCAGTGGTAGAGCCCTTGCCTTGCATGCATGAGGCCCTGGGTTCGATTCCTCAGCACCACATAAGCAGAAAAAAAAAGCCAGAAGTGGCACTGTGGTTCAAGTGGTAGAGCACTAGCCTTGAGCTGAAGAGCTGAGGGACAGCGCCCAGGCCTAGAGTTCAGGTCCCACAATCGGACCCCCCCCAAAAAAAAACAAACAGAAAAAATAACAGATTATAACATATTTTAAAATAATAGCTTCTCCTACTACTGGAATATGTCACATTTGGGTAGCATAGATTTCATCTAATGAATAATTATTTATATTTTAAATATAGTCAATAGGGAGGCTAAGGAAGATGGTGAGAATGACTACTGCCCACGTAGTACTCTCAATGGAGAGTACTAAAGAGGATGAGACTGGATGAAATACGTTGTAAAAATGTGGCAATGTAACCATGATATTCCTCTCTGTGTAACTAATGGAAGTTAATAAAAAAAAAATAAAGGAGAAACAGGGTGGGGAAAGTAATAGAACAGGCGAGTTTGATTAGAATATATTGGAATACATTGTTTACATTAGTGGAAATGTTGAAATGAACTCCTCATGTGCCTCTGTGTGTGTGTGTGTGTGAGAGAGAGAGAGAGAGAGAGTGAGAGAGAGAGAGAGAGAGAAAGAGAGAGATCTCACATCATCCACTTCATCTGGCATTTAAAAGTGACAGAAAATATGATTTTATTTTTTAAAAAAATTTGGTTACCTGACTTATGAAACTGTAACCCCTATATAACCCCACCTTTATAATAACAACACATCTTTTTCTTCAAGTTATAAAATCTACAGCTAACTTTATTTCTAGCTTTTTTATACCTAATAGTTGAAATTCATGAGCAAAATTAATCTGACTTGTTAGAAAAGTGGGGGGGGTCACATTTCGAGTTGTATTTCCTACATCGCAAACTAATATGATAGCAAGGCTATGGATTTCACAAGCAGTAAGTTTAAGTTGACACATCAGTTCTTTTACCAGCTAATTCTGTGAAACTGAGCATGATATTATCCAAAAGCTTTAGTCTCTTCAACTGAAAAAGACAAAACAATTGATAAATTATTTATTCCTTGTTTATAATAAGGCCTACTGTCTAGTGGTTTATGATGATAAAAATAGATAATACATATAAAATTCCTGTGAGACTGTATCAGATACAAGTTTGTTTATATAAGCAACTGATGTTGATTCTTCAAAGTTGTTTCTTAAGTTAATCTCAGAGGAGTATTCCTAACTCTTCCACATGGTCAATGGGCTTGCTATTGGAAGTGACCATCAAACTTTAAGTCAAGTGCCCAGAGTTCAGTATTCAAAGTTCAAAGGGAGCACAAACTGAGTCTGAAGTTGCCAAAGAGGACCCAACTCCTTAGTAGAAGAACAAGCCCAATGAGTGGTAAGAATCCTACCACTGCAGATAAAATGAGGCTCCTCTTCAAAACACATTTTAATTGGTGTTAGAGAATAAAGGGGCATACCAACATTCAATTACTTTTGCATATTTTATAAAATTATGAACAAAAAATGGCAGCTCACATATCTGGGAAAAATAGCTCGACTGGAATGAGAATGTAAAACTTTATGTCAAGAATCAAGGTTTGAGATGATTTGCAGGTGTCTTCCTACCTTGGTTGCAGGTTTTTCCAGCATAGCCAGGATGACACTTGCACTTGTTTGGCCCAATACATTCTCCATGTTTGCACTGAGGTTGGCACACAGCTGTGGAAAAAGAATATTGTACATTATATTTAGGTCAGCATCATGAGACCTATAAAGCATTCATACTATCATTTATGTGGTAATTAAAGAAAAAAATGAAGAACTTACAATGGAATGGTAGAAAGTTATAAAGTCCTTATTTCCTACAGAACCTGCACACAGTACACACAAACATAGCATGTATGTGCTTATGTGGATGTTTGGTGTAGATATCACTTGCTTATAGAAAAATGAACAAAACGATTTATAAAGACAAAACTATGCACAATCCTAATTGGTATTTGTCAACAGTTAGAACTTTACAATAACCTGCACACAGAATCTCAAACTCATTCTATCAAATATACTTCTAAAAAGTAGTTCCTTGCTCAAAGATACTGAGAACACATGAAATTAAGATAAATGTCTGGGTTGGGGATATGGCTCAGTAATAGAGTACTTGTCTAGCATGCAGGAAAGGCCCTGGGTTGGATCATCAGCAACACACACACGAAATTGTATATACATATATACTTGCATACACATATATATGTATGTGTTTATGATTATGTAACTATATATACCTAAAATTTAAAGCTTTAAAATTTAAAGCTTTAAAATTGATATGTAAAGATACATATATGCATTACATATATATTCAATTAATAAAACATATTATTCGAAATCATATTCCAAGTACAAAATGATTCAAAGTGAAATACTGTTTCCACTGTCTTGGTCTTCATCCTAAAATGTACTACAAGGGCTCTTCCGTTTATAACAGCTTTCTGTGGCTTACCAGAGCATACAGAAAGGTCTCAGTTCAACATGTACTCTATCTTCTACATTTCCCTGAGGACCTCAAATTGCTGTATGTCACCTTAGTCTTTTTATTTTAAGCTACTCATTCTCTACTGGATATGGGCCTGTGTTTTGAAGACATTTGGCAATTTCTGGAGCCATTTTTGGTTGTTACAATGGGGAGCGATGCCAGTGGCTAGTGGGTGGAGAATGCAGATGCTGCTCAACATACTGCAGTGCTCAGCTGTCTCCAGAACAAATGATCCAAGCCTCACTGGCAGCAAGACTGGGAAATTTGGCTTGGTCCTGCACTAGATATATGTGTTCATTACACTATGCCAGATACCACAATAAACAAAAAAGAGATAATTGCACAGTATGGTTCCTGGTTTCAAGTAACCTGTAATCTAGATAAAAACAAAAGATGCTTTCAATTCAAGGCAATATTTATTAGCAAAATGGGTAGCACATATGAAATTTATGAAAAAATCACCCCATAAGCAAATCCATCTGGATTTGTGCACAAGTCTAAGATACTTGTGTTAGACCATGAAGCATGCAGACACAGAAAGGAACTATTACTTGAGGAGAAGTAAATTACTTAGCATAGTTGATCATAGATAAGTCAGAGGTCACACAAGAGACTTGTATGGGTAAAAGGGTGGGTAAATGCTGATGGGAGGGTGATATCAGAAGATCCTGCTCCGGAAGTTTCAAATGTTAATATACATTTCCTATGCAGGAAATGCTTTTAAAGTTTATCATCATCAGAAGAATTAGCGGATCAAAATGAAAGCTCTGGGAATATCAGCATAATTATATTCAGAATGGATGGAAAAACATCTCGAGGCAGAAAAGGGAGTTAGAAGACAAATGAAATCATTCGCATCGGACATGAGGGAAGCATGGTTTGTGTTGATGACAGGAGGAGATGTGCTTCGGTGAAAAGCTGACAGGCCTTTGAAGACTCAGAGAGTAGGAGTTCACAATGGCCAAATGTTTCAAAGCTTGCTCCTTCTCCTATCAGCCATGCTAGCCTCCATCCTGGGATGTGCTCCCAATTTCCTCCATCTTTCCTTTCCTTTGAAAGTCTTGCAGGTTCACTATATGTGTTACATTGTTTTCTAAGTCCCTTCACTCAACACTCACTAAGCCTCCCTTACATTTACAAAATTATGTGGTAATTTTACTTCCTGTCTGTTCCACCAACTTACCCTGAGTCCCTACAAATGCTTAAGATATAGAAGCTCCAGAAGTATTTGACTAAAAGGCTTGCCAAAAAGGATGAACAGAGAGTACATGATAGAGAGATGAAGTTGGAAAACCCTTAAGATCAGATTTTGGACTTGGCATTTAAAAGGAAGGAATTGTATTCAGTTTTGTGAGAAGAAATGAGCTATCTCAGAGGGGCTCCAATATCACCTACCGTGGATTATACACATGGAAGATAGTTTATACTATGGACAGATGTTTAAAGTAAGTTACAGAAACAACTACTCTATATGTAACATTCTAATCTTTTAAAAGGATAATACATAAATACATGAATGCAACTTGAATAATTAAATAACACTGAGGTACTCAGAATGCCATATTTTGAAAAATGAAATAGATACCTTAAATTTTATTAGCTATAAGTCAAGGTATTATAGTCCTTTAGAATAACTGGGATTTAGAATTCTTTCTACAAACATGAAAAAGTCGCTCAGAATATATCACTTAAAAGCATGAATAAGTGCATTTAGAACACTTTGTGCAACAAAGATGACCCCCTCCCCAGGCTTTCTTGCCCTCTGACCCCTGACTAGCTCTATGTCCATCTATTTATCAGGTGTGCTCTGGTAACTAAAGAGTTTTGTTTTTGGTTCTTCCTCCTTTTCTTGTTATTTGTTCTCAGCAGAGTGCTCTAATCTTGGGCACAGCAAATACACACATTCCAAGAGGTCACTAGCCTGTTAATGTGTCTTCAGTATTTTAAAGCAAACTGCTAACTGCAGAGTCTTCATTGAAATAACCAATAATTATAGACTGGCCAATGGCTATTAAAAGTGATAAGATATTCACAATGCTGAGTAGTTAGTTTCTTCCTAGAAATGGGAAACTTTGTAAAATTTTGCACAAAGGGCTTTCTCTTATTATCTTGTTGTCTTTATATCAGAGATAAAATTCAGTAATTATATACGGAATACTTATGTATGATGTATTATGCTAGACAAATGTGGGGAGAGTCACAGAAGTAATGAAAAATAAAGTGTGTAGCCAATTTAGTTTCATCTATGACAAGGTAGGAGAGATAAAGGAACAAAGAAGTGTGGGTAATTACAGCTACAGATGCTGGAGAGGCCTCAGCTGAGACCTGTGAGCTGAGCGAGGGTAGAGGTAAGAGGCAGCTGGGATTAGAACGAAAACCTTCCAGAATATGAGCAAAATGGGAGGGGGAGATGTGAAGGGGCTTCTGGTGAGTGCAAAGTGTCTGTGGGCTGTGCTATAAAGTGATTCCAACAGCAAATGTATCAAAAGAAGATTGAGATAGATCATAAAAGCCCAGCTGAATTCTTTGGATCTTTACCAATATCTATCTTTCCTTTTTTTCCTGCTTTAATACACAATGACTTTAGTATGTTTATATTTTTTTTCTTTAGTGCAGAATTCGTTAGCAATGGGAAACTACATTTCCTATCCTCCCTGGTAGCTACAAGTAGTCAAATGACTAAATTCCAGCTAATTTACATGTAAGCTGAAGTAATCAGGTGGGATCTTTGGGATGGTACTGACAGGGGAGGGGGCCTCTGGATTTCTATCTAGAACTCAAAAGGCATGGCTGAACTACAGTGATATTTCATGATCATGAGACGATCCTGAGAATGCAAACAAGAGCAAGAGACATAATATTACTCTGAATTCTTTGTACCATTGTTATACCCAGCCAAGTATCTTTGAGCACTAGGCTGTGGAATCTGGACTTAATCTATGTATTAGCAAGCCAACAAAGTGTGTGCGTGTGTACATGCTCACACCATGGATATAAGTATATATGTGTGTGTATTTTTTATAAACATATATATGTACACATATTTACTATAAAAAGGTCCAAGTATAGAAATAGAATTCATCAAATTTCTTTTATATCTACAATACCATACCCCCATGGGAGTATAAAGGAACTTCATTTCTACAGCTAACTAACTACATTAGAAAAGATGCATACCTATTTTAAACCATAGAAAAATGGCTCCTAACTTTGGTGTAAACTGGCCTTCCTTCTAATAAGTAATTCGATTGTAACATGGCTCTTAGAAACCAGCAAAACCAACCCTTGTAAGCATTTCTCTGTGAACAGAAGGTCATTCACCTGCCCTTAAACAGAAAAAAAAATTAAAAGATGATCTATTCTTGTTTAGTAGTACACTTCTAAAAACATCAACTATAGATGATACTCTAAATTTGGAAGAAACAATGTGCCTGTGATTGCCATAAATTAATCAGAAAAAGCAAATTGTTTCTTGGCTTCATCAGAGAAATCAGAGATTTGGGCCATATTGATGGCCCACTATCACTAGCTCAGTAACTAAAGGCCAAGCAAAGATCACAGATATGACAGTTTTGTTATGATTTAGAAAACCAGTTACCAGAACTAAGCCCAAATAGATAAACCAAATTCTAAACTTCCTAACATTCCTGTAGCATAATCTCCAAGATGCCCTTAAAGTAACCTCTATGTCATTGTTTTAACTAGAAAAAGAAACAAGTCTCAACTGGCAAATCAAACACAGCCCTTCATATCACATGTCCAAACTTCTATTTGCCTACAATCCAAAATTCTACTCGAAAAAAAATCCTAACAGATGTTTCTAGGGTCCCAGGAACTGCACAGTGTTTTCTACCTCAGTTATAAGTACTAAGTGATCAAATTAGCTACGGAAAAAGTGAACTCCAACACCCATTCTACAGTGTTTTATAAGTAAGCTAATCACACTGGGATGCAATTGCCAAAGTTTGAAAACAAGAACATATTGAAAAGCCTGAGTTAGGGAGTCAAGAAGGTGACAAGGAAAAAGCCAACTCAACCTCAGGCACTGTTCATAACTTGAGGAGGCATTTCTTCACATAAATTAAAAGTCTTAAAAATTCTAAGAATCCTTTGTAAATTTCTCAATTTATATAATGTTGTTTTCAGGTATAAATAAAGAACCTTGTCTTGCCAGGTGTTGGTGCCTCAT